ATATTTTCTTAGTTGATGATTAAGAAAATATTCACATATATTTTCTTATCATCAATGTAAAATATTTATACTTAATGACTACCAGCATATATCATCCAGAGTGAAGTTCCCCTTGCACCCAATGACTACTCAGTAAAATATTTATACTTAATGACTACCAGCATATATCATCCAGAGTGAAGTTCCCCTTGCACCCAATGACTACTCAGTAAAATATTTATACTTAATGACTACCAGCATATATCATCCAGAGTGAAGTTCCCCTTGCACCCAATGACTACTCAGTAAAATATTTATACTTAATGACTACTCAGTAAAATATATTTATGGTAGAAATATATTAAATTCTTATAATATATTTTTAATGAGTAAAAATGTATGTTATTTTAAGTATGAATGTTCATTTATTTTATTTAATGCCATTCACTTAGTTTCACATGGCTCCATGTATCCCCTTGCACCCAACAATATCACTTATTTTTTAATTGAAATCAGGAACTTGAACTTGAAACAGGAACTTTGCTCGGCTGCTCGGTTAGTTAATCAGGAACTTGGAGCCATAAAAAATAAAAAGCTCGGTTGCTCGGTTAGTTTATTACGCTCAATGTGTTTATTGAGAAGAATTTTAATTGTCCACTGTTTTCAAAGAATTCTGTTTTCAAAGAATTCTGCTCAATTAGAAAAATTCTGCACAATGTGTTTTGAAAGCAGAATTTCTTATCACCAAAATCACCAAATTCTGCTCAATGTGTTTATTGTCAACTGTTTATCACCAAAATCATAAATTTTGGTTCAGCCAAAAATTCTGCTCAATGGATTTTTTTAAATTAGTTTGGTGTTATACACTAGAAAACTGGTTTCAAAAAAGGTTATTGACACATATTTGAAGGCATGTTATTGAACTACTTGATGTTATTGAAGACATTTTTGAAGACATTTTTCTAATTATTGAACTACTTGATATTTGATGACATTTTTTAAATTAGTTATATGGGTAATTATGCCCTAAATTTATTATTATTATTTCTTTTTTTGGAAAATATATTAACTTTTGATTTTTTAATTTTTTTTTTAAGTTATGCCCTAAGTTATGCCTAAATTTATTTTTTAAAAGTATGCCCTAAGTTTTATATTTTAAGTTATATGGGTAATTTGCTATTTTATTTTCTAAAACAAAATTGAACACTAGAGATCCCACTGCAATGTTGGACACTAGAGATCCCACAACAATAAAATTGAATGAAACTTTTGTGACAACCATGCCACTCATATATCTATATTTATTACACAAAAAAAATTAAAAAATTGTATATAAAATTAGGTAGGAAATTAATGAAGTGGTGCAGCACGAGAGAGCATACTTCAGTGGTTTGACCTTTTGCTTGGTTTAGTTCAGCCTCTTGAATGTGTTCAACACTCCAAAAAGAAAGAAAAAGAAAAAAAAGGTGTTGTGGAGAATCCAAGCCCCCTTCTGGCTTTAGAGATGATTTTTTTATGACTCAAAATTATTGGTTTGAGATATCATATTCAAAAGAAACTTGATGATATATTTTACTGAGTGCTTTGATTTTTGTATGTTTGTTATTTAAAATGAAATTCAGTGCTCTTAAAAAAATAGATGATCTTGACAAATCATGTGAATCATGTGAATCTGTGAATCTGAGTGCCTTGGATTTTTTAATATTAGGTGTATAAATTGTGCATAAATTCAATTTTAAAAAATTTGGTTTGTTTGTTTACTTAATCATCAACTAAGAAAATATTAGGTGTATTTTTTTTTCTTTTTATTATAGATTTAGCATACAATAACTTTAGTTTCTGTCAGTGTTTACAATTTTTTTTTTACTTGCTCTTATATTTTGATTTGGAGTATTGGTGAACATTAAAAATCTTATATGTTTATTTCTTAATTTGCATTAACATTAAGGAGAGTTGTTATTTATTTCAGTTTTGTAGAGCATGTAATACAAGCAAAAATGTTAGAAGTTATTTAAGAAAAAAAAATTAATATATTTACATCGTGCCTTCTGTCAATTTTGATTAAACATTGAGCAGAATTATTGTGAACCAAATTTCTCTCATAACTATTAAACATTGAGGAAATGTGTCTCTCATCACCAAATTTCTGTCAATTTTTAATTAGAATTATTGTCAATTTTTTTAATGAAAAAAACATTAAGCAGGAATTGGTTTGCTGTTCACAAAAAAAATAAAATAAAAGTTATACACATTGTGTTTACTGTCAATTGTGTATAATAGTTGGTCTGTCAATTATTGCCAATTATTTGAACTATGATGCAAAAATTATTTGAACTAAATTTCATCAAAGAATTTTAAAAAACATTATGTGAACCAAATTTCTGTCAATTTTGATTAAACATTAACCAGAATTATTGTGAACCAAATTTCTCTAAGAACTATTAAACATTGAGGAAATGTCTCTCATCACCAAATTTTTAATTAGAATTATTGCCAATTTTTTTAATCAAAAAAAAATTAAGCAAAAATTATTTTTTCATCAAAGAATTACTGTCAATTATTTGAACTATTAAGCACAAATTTGGTCCTTACACATAAGGTTGGTCTCAAAATTATTTGGCTATTATACACAGCAAAAACGTAATAGATCCAAAATTTTCACATAGGAGATGGTTTTCTTTCATAAAAAATGGTATGGATAGGAGATGGCTTTTAGGATAAGTTTGGAATTTTTTTGAAAAGATTTGAAGATGCGAAGAGAGTAAGGATTGGAGTATTCATATCAGATCAAGCTTTTAATCAAATTTTCACTCAAATTTGATGAACAGAGAGAGAGAGAGAGAAAGAGAGAGTTAAGTAATTTACTAATCATAACCATCATGGTTTGGTTGTCCTGACTCCTTCACTTAGTGAGGCATAGTCGGGTTGCTTCATTGTAATATGGGCTTCTATTCTCCCTTTTATTTATTTATTCTTTCCAAAATAAAAACCTAGGCTTAGGCGCCCATAGGATTGTTTGACAAAAAGGCATTATTAATTTCTATTCGACAAAAAGGCATTATTAATTTCTATTCAACTTACTAAACCATCAAGCGCATTACTAATCACTGGAATGCTCAGTCGAAGAACTCTACATGCACAATTTTGTTTTTCAAAAATAGATGCAATCAACCATGATTTAGTCACCCTTTTAATGAAAGAACATTTATGCAAGATATAGAGAGAGACATCACTACGATATACCTTTACACAAAAATTGTACCATTTAAACGTAGTATATTTGTTGTGTGATTCTAAAAAGAAAGAGACTGTTTTTTTTTTAATATCTACAGCTCCTAATTAAAAGAAAAATTTGAAAGACTTGGCATTTTAATATTTATGTGTAATATGGCAAGAGAGTTTATGTTTTTTTTTTTTTTTGCAACGTTTTAAGGGAGTATAGTATTCTATGTTGTATTTCAAAAAATTCTGGTCAATGTATATATGTGTGTATTACTTTAGTTGTCTTCATGAAAAAAAAAATGTATTAAACTTACAAGTATTTAACTTAACGCAAGTATTTAACATAATCCGTTTTACTTTGAATCAAATTCACCAAGTATTTAACTTAACCCACAAAAATGTATTTAACATTTTGTTATAAAAAATTAAAACAAAAAATTGTACCATTCAAATGTAGTATATTTGTTGTGTGATTCTAAAAAGAAAGGGACTATTTTTTTTCATTTAATTTTTTTTTGAA